TGGCTTTTTTGGAATCCAGAGCACATGTTTGGCTACATTTAGTTTTAGCTTCCTTTATTATTGAGAATTCAGGAAAGACATGGTCACTTTCCCTCAGAGTTCCCACGGCTGTTACTTTGTCCAATATGTCTTCCCTGTTGGTTAAGATAAGGTAGAGTAAAGGCCTAACTCTGGTTCCTACTTCTACCTTCTGCTGGAGGAAGTTATCAGCAACACATTAGGAATTTCTTAGACGGGCTGTGTATGGCAGAGTTTGACTCCCAGCAGATATCAAGGAAATTAAAGCCCCCCATAATGATAACATCATGCCTCCACAAAATACTGAAAATTTCATCTCTTTCCTCACCTTCACTGGGTAGACAATAATAGACTCCAATTATGATGCTCCTTTTATTCTTTTTTCCATTTATATTAATCCAGTTCCACTCGATGGGATTACTGGTCTCTTCATCCTGTATTTCTTCACAGAGTTATGTATCTTTAACATAAAGTGCAACCCTGTCTACTTTTCTGTTGCCTCTATTCTTTTTGAACAGGTTATATCCTGCAAATTTTGAATTCCATTTGTGGGAGTAATCCCACCACATTTCAGTTATGCCTATTAGGTCATATTTGCCCTTGTGTACTAAGAGTTCAAGTTCATGTTGTTTGTTTCTCATACTTTGGGCACTGGTGTATAGACATCTAAGCCACGTAAATTATTCCCTGCCTTCATTCCTACATATTTGGGGAGACTAGTGTCAGGCACAGCTAGAGTTTCTTTCACTGTTGCAGTATATAACCCTTTGTTAGTTGTTGCACCCCGATGTATGTCTCCCTCCCCTACAGAATTCAATTTAAAGCCCTCCTAATAAACTTCTTCATACTGTGACCAAGTACATCCTTTCTTTTCTTTGTGAGGTGAAATCCATCACTTGTGCCAGCAGGCTGTCTTCCTGGAAGCTTAGCCCGTGGTTCCAAAGTACAAATCTCTCATGGCTGCACCACCATCATAGCCAGGAAATCATGTGGAGTATTCTCCCCCCGCCACCCTCACAGCATTTTTTCCTCTTCCACGAACTGGAATGATTGAGGAGAAAACTATATGGACCCCAATGTTCTTAAATTTCCTCCCTAAGTTTCTAAGTCTGCCGTAATTTTCTCAAAGCTCCTGCTGGCAATGTCAATAGTTCTCACATAAAGGAGAAGGAAAGGATGTGTGTCAGTGGGTTGTGCATCAGTAGGTTGTATGAGCATTGGTATTCTGTTAATTGCATCATTGATCTTTGCTCCAGGGACTCAGCACAGTTGAAGATTCCAAGGGTCCTCCTAAAATATGTGTTTTCCATCACATGCAACAGGGAATCTCCGACAACTATCAGTTTTCTCCATTTCTTGTTGCAAACTTTAGTATCTTTTTACTTTCGAGATTGACTTTTTGTCTCTTTTTCAGAGTTACTCAGTCTGCTGCGTAGTTCCTCCACAGCAGGTTTCTCACTTGTCTCATCCTCAAGTATCTTAAAGTGGGGCAAAGCAACTTCTAGTTCTTCTACACTTAACTGTCACCTTCTCTCAGTTTTCTTCTTCTGCCTCAGCTTGTTGATGCACTTCTAGCTAATGTTCTGCTCTTAGCTGTTCCAGTTCCACCCCTCTGTCTAAAAACTCTTCTTCTTCTTTTGTTGTTGTTATTTTGAGGGTGGTCACTCTCTGTTCTAGTGCTCTCACCTTTTCTTCTAGCAAGGCTACTAGCTTGCACTTGTGGCATGTGTAGGCCATGTTGCGCTCAGATACGAAAACAGACATTGCAGCAATATTGCAAGTCACCACCACTGTGGAGTCTTCTCAGTCCATTCTTTGTGCTACTTTTGTGAATCTGTCTTGGTGGGCTGCTGTGACAACCGGTGCTTTCTCTTGTCTAAACTAAAGATTAACAGCGCAGCCCTTCAGGTAAATGGGAGTGTGATACAAGACAAAAACAAATAGCTGGAGGGAACTAAAGAGAAAAGAAGGGGGGAAATGTTAGGGACCTTCCCTGCGGAACTCCACCACCAAACTCCTGTTCGCTGTGCCTGTTCGCTCACTCGCTGGGAGCTTGACTGCTTGTATCTTATATCGATGCTGCATCTTGATATAAGATAAGCTTATATCGTAATGTAGCTTGCTCTAACCTGCTCTACTAGGAGTCCGGAACCGCCCACACAACTGCTGCTAGCTGATCAGGCCACTAGCTTCAGTTAATCAGCTAGTCAGGAATTCCCTTCAGTTGTAACTTCCAGAACACACGGCTTCTTAGAAAAACAAAACACTGTTTGCTGGGCTAGTGTAGGCCCCTCTCCACTTTCCCTCTGTCTCCCCTTCCACTGCAACTCTGCCACCAAACTCCTGTTTGTTCTCCCTGGCGCTCACTCGCTGGGAGCTTGCCTGCTTGTATCCCAGAGGCCTTAGACTAGCTGGGGCAGCTTGCTCTAATCTGCTCTGCTAGGAGTCAAGAACCATACTACAATTTGCTGTACTGTCCCTTTGGCTGGAACAACAAATTGCATTGATTGCTATAAAATTATACTTTAAATGATAGTCAGAAACATTGAAGTCATTTAAGGCAAAACTCACAAAAGAGCAAGACTTGCAAACTTGCAAAATACACTAGATTATTTGAGTTATCATGGTACTGCTGGAGATAGGAATGGAGGGGTCAGCTGGATCCAGTGTGCCATTTTCAGAAACAGAACAGCTCTTTCATTCTGCAGAAGGAAATAAGACCCAGAGGAGGCTCTTGCTAGAGGAAGAAGGGAAGCTAATTTTGCTAATGCAGCCTTCACAGGTACATTGTTCCAGATATCTCTGAACCTTCCAGTGCAGCTTTTCAGTGGCTGTAAATAGGCTGTGGGGTGTGCATAAATGGTTTTCTCATCCTTTAGAGCAGGGATGTACAGAAGCTGGGGGTCTCAAGATATTTTGACCTTCAACTCTCAGTAGCCCTTGCCAGCATAGCCAATAATCAGGAACACTTGTGGCTGGAAATTACTTTTAGCTCATCCCTGGTCTAGACAAACATCTTGTGAGTGGAATTCAGCTCCCAGAAACTCATAGACTCATAGATATAAGAGATGCTTACATTAGTTTTCCAGTGCCCAAGTCTGTAATTTGAGCATAAAACATAAAACTGGCTAGATATGCAGTTAATTTAAAAATGGGCTATATCTTGTTTCCTATTCCACAGTAACAAGTACAGTGGTACCTCGGTTCATGAACACCTCAGTCCACAACCAAATTGGTTCACGAACAAAAATTTCAGAAAAATTATGCCTCTGTTTGCAAACTCTGCATCAGGTGATGACCACGTTCGCGGCCATGTTCTCCACTTGAGGTCGCAGACAGACCTGTGGTCACTTGCTGTGAAGCTTTTTTGTGTGCTTTTTAGCACATACAGTACTGTAAAGTATTATTCAATAATAATATTCAATAATAATATTCAATAATGGCTCCAAAGAAAGTGCAGAGCAAGCATGGTGGTAAAAAGAATTTGCAGAGCAGTAATGAAGGTGACCAGAATGTGCAGATTTTTTGCCAGAATTGATCCTGCAGCTAAGAGACAAAGAAGAGAGGAAACCCCTGAAGGAGATCTCCCCGATGTCTTTATGGAGGGAGATTCTCCCTCCAAACAATAACCTCCCCCGCACCGAGGTTAGTGTTCTCTACGATACTGTACTTCGTTACTTTGTTGTTCTTTGTTACTTTGTTTCAAATTTTTGTGATTAAAAATATTTACAGAATGGATTAAACTTATTTACATTGAATCTTATGGGGAAATTTGACATGGTTCGCAACCAAAATTGATCCACAACCACATTCGTAGGGGTCAGAATGGATTAACCTTATTTCCATTGAACCTTATGGGGGAATTTGACTTGGTTTGCGACCAATTTGGGTTGCGACCAGAATCGTGGAATGAATTAAGTTTGTGAACCAAGGTACCACTGTATACTGCACTTTAGACTAAAAGGCTTGTGGGAAATGTCTTTATCCTTTAACAGAAACAGTATTACTAATAAAGTACTGCTGTTGGGTTTTTTGATAATCATATAGGAAATTAAAACATACCATAACTCTTACTGAAAAAGTTATGTGGTAGTGATACAGGGGGAAATGGCAAAACAACAACAACAAAAACCAGGTACAAGAGCCATTAAGAGGGCTATACTTGGGCAAGTCAGAATGAAAAGTAACAGGTCACTGAAAACTGAGTGACAATCTCCAAGGGTTTTCACAGCCCTGCAAACTAAGTGCCCTTGCCAGGTTTTCTTGGTTTATCTTTTATAAAGCCCATAAACAAATAGTATAAAATATTGATTGTATATATAAAATCAGAATTGTAAGCATAAGTGTTTATTATAGAGTAAGGTTATTGTGTAACATAAGTGCCAAAAATACAGCTCAAGGGGATGAGGAATATCTTTTAAGATACTGCAATATGTTGGCAATAGATAAAACCAAACAACATGTACAGACGTTCTGATTAATACAAATGGAGATGGTATAATTCCTGTGGTAAAAAGACACTGCTTTCTGTATATTGTTTCTCTCTCTTCATAACTTGGGGAACCTCTTTGTCCTTGTTATTTTACTACACACTAAGTGCCAGTCTCTGCTGCTTGGCAGTAGAATTAAGAATTAGCTGACACATTAAAATCAAGTGGCCCACAAGAAGCAGACACATAATCATGCAATTCCTTTTGCTAAGACGGTGGAAAGGAAAATAGGAAGAAATCCAAATGTTGGCAGTGTAAGACCATCTGCTGAAGGAGGCATTTCTCTGACCTAAATGAAACAGAATACACCGTAGGCTCCTTCTCTGTTAGGTCTCATCCCAGACCACCCCGCCTTTCCCAGCCTCGGGGGAGGGTGGCTTTAATAATGGTCTGTGTAAACTGATGCTCAGGCAGTGAGAGTTTGGAGAAGCGTTGTCTCAATGAAAGGCAGTCCCTGAAGGGTACGAAGAGTTTCCAGCAACTTCAGGGAAAATGTCTGTCCTCGCTAAAGTCTTGAAAATGGACTGCAAGCAGGTGCTTGAGCCCCAGAGGAGCTGCGTTTACGGTGCGATTTTTGTCAAGATGTTTCACCAGCTGCCCAAGCTTTCGAGCAGCACGTCGCTGGAGGTGCAGAATAATGTAAGGGCAGCTGCAGAGGACAAAGCAGAGGAGAAGGTGGCAGCCTCGGCGGGATCCAGGGGGCTCCCCAAAGCCGGCCAGCAGCACCCATGCCACCCAAGAGTGAAAAGCCTGAAAGAAATGCCAGGACCCACGACCTTCTCGAATCTGGTCGAGTTTTTCTGGAAGGATGGCTTTAGCCGCATTCATGAAATCCAGGTACAATTTAGTGAAAGTAATCATTGTGAAGATGGATTCGTTTCCCTCCAGAGAAGAAAGCCAAGGAAACCATGTGTTGCATACAATGTTACTCTAACTTCAATCCCATTTATTTGAATGGGACTACTCGTGGTAGGACTAACTTTGGCTGCAACCCCGTGTGTCCGTAGCACTGCAATCTTAACTCTAGAGTTTTATGGTGCAGGACAATTAAAAGACTCGCCTCCCCCCCCTCCCCCCGCATCACTGCGGGCTTCATGCCGTCCGACTGTGACGAACTGAATGAAATTAGGCTTGTTTCACTCTTCAGAGATTGCAGTCAGTTTGGTTTATTTTCCGAAGGTATCACATCTGCTAGAGGGAGGGTTCCGAATCGCAAAACATACTAGCCAGCTGCTCCCTGGGTCCTCATTGCAGTTCCTTCGTGGCTTTGCTCTCCCCACGTTTGATGTTTCTTCATATTTTCTTCAATTGCTAACTGGGCATTCTCACTGGCAAGACTTACGGGGTGGGGTGTGGTACAGTTAATTTTATACTCTACTTGAGGGTCTTATTATTCATTGAATAACTGAACTGAATTATCTAACCAGGATAATTTTGTAGGTAGAAAGTGTCTGCTTGTCCACTTTTTACTATTAAAAATTTCTATATCTTATAAGTACATTGACTAATGAGTTGCCTAACTAAAACTAGATGGCAAAGAAGGGAAGGGAGAAGACGTTATAAGTGGTCCTTGTTTGAATAGTCTAAAGCTGCAATCCTACGCCCACACTTTGAAGTAAGCCCCACTGGAATACAGGGAAGACTTACCTTGGAGTGGCATGGGTAAGGTTGCATTGTTAAAGTATGAATAATAACTTCTGGGATGTGCCTTAACTGTTGTTGGAGGTATGTTTGTTTTTAAGTTCCTTCAGAGCATTTGCCAACGAGATGTGGTCGCCGAAAATTGGCTCTCAGTTTGAGACTTGCTTTATAAGTAAGAAATAATAAGTCGACCAAGGCAGCCCTAGCCCGAGCGGCTGGTGGTGCGGGCGAGACTTCGCCTCCCAAGGGAGCTGCTGCCTGTTCTCTCGGCGCAGAAATCCCCCCTTTCTTCGCACCTCATCTCTGGGGAGAGACCATTTTGTCCCCTCGCTTCCACCGATCCCTGAAGAAACTTCTAGAATTTATCGACCATATATATGCGTGTGGAAGTTCACTTAGGTGGGGGTAGTTACTGCATTGCAAGGACTGGAGAGGAGGCGCGGCAGCATCATGAGCTGCCGGCTAAAAGTTACACAACCTCCTCAGCAGGAGGCGGCCGCTTTGAAACACTCCCATTTATTTATGCTTTTTCCCCTTCCGGCGGTCTTCCCTCCCTCCCTCCTCTCCATTTAAAACGAGCGTAGGAAGGGGAGAGGGGAAGCAACTTTGAGTAAGGCTGAAAGCAGGCTTGCAGCCAACCTAGAAAATCAGGGGGTGTCGAAAAGTAAAGGGAGTGGTTGCTTCGTCTGGTTTGGGCTTTGCAAGAATTGCTTTTTAATGCTGAATGGGAGGGGGGAGCAGAGCGCATTTGGGGGCAGGCTCCCCCGAGTCCCCCCCCCCCGCTGCGGGGGCTGTGCCAAGCTGCCGGCAAGGTTTGCCCGTCCTTCCCTTCCCGCGTCTCGGAAAGGGGCGGGCGCGTGGGGGAGGGGCGGGCGGGGGCGCCGGAAAGGTTTTGCACGCCTTTCTTTCCTTCGCCTGCTTTCCCGGGGGGGGGGGGGGGGGGTGCGCCACGTGATCCTGATGGCAGTGGGGATGGGGCAGAGTGGGGCTCCGTGCGTTTCATCAGAGGAACTGCAATCCCCCCTCTGCTTTTTCCACTGACTGCTCATTTTTCCACATCTGGTTCCATGGACTGCTCCTCCCCCTCATCACGTAACAGGATGGTTGCCATGGAACAAAAGTGTGTGTTTGCACACTACATGTAACGCATTTGCACCACCCTCCCCCCAAGGTCTTGGTGCATTTGCCATCCACTCCGTTGCTGGCATTGACAGGGCTAACATTTTACATCTGCCGGCTACTTTGCATCACAGAGCCAATCTGTTCTTTTGCTCTGCACGGGGCTGGCCATAGTTTACTTCACAAGGTGGTGGGCAGCATGTTTCTGTGAACTACTATGGAAGAATTCCAAAAGATAGGATATAAATAATTGTGGATCATACAAACACCTTGCTAGCTTTGATGGTCTCTATCAGATGTAAACCATGCTTGGACTTAAAACGTGCACAGGAAAGAAAGAAGGAAATGGAGACATGTGTTTTGTAGTTGTGGTCACTGAGATCTGTCTCTGTCTCTTTGCTTTTGAAAGATGATGTGCAGCTAGTACAGTTAAGAGAGCACTCAATGAGTCTTCTGTAAACTAAGGAAGAAACATCCACGATTAAACTATGGACTTGCATGAAGTACTGTCCTGAATCTCTTACCAATCAGCTTCATGAGATAACCCTGAGTTGTAGCATTATGAAAGAAGAAAAATAGCTCCATACCCATTTTCTCCACATCACAGATAGTTTTGTATGTATCATATCCTTATTTAGTTTGTCCACATAACCTAAACAATTCCAGCTGTTGTAGCCCTTCCTCATAGGGGACTTGCTCCAGTGTTTTGATCATGCTGATTGCCCTTTCCTGAATTTTTTCCATTTCTATAATGTCCTTTACTTAGGTGCAGTGTCAGAAATTGTACTCAGTAGTCTGAACGGGGTCTCACCATAGAGTTTATAATGGTGGTATGATATTGGCAGTTTTATGTTCCTTTACAAACTATGCCTAACATGGAGTTTGCCTTTTTCAGAGCAGCCTTGCACTGGGTTAATATTTTCATCAAGCAGTCCACCACAACCCCAAGGTCTCTTTGATGGTTAGTCACTTCCAGTTCAGATTCTTTCAGTTTATACTTGAAGCTGGGATATTTTTATGTAATGAGCATTACTTCACCCTTGTTTATTTGGAATGTTTGCCATCTTGATTCCAATTCTACCAGTTGGGATAATCTTTTTGTTTTGAAGATCAGAAAACAGATTAGGAATAAATTGTATATTCTCCCAATGGGGGAATGTAAACAGTGGAATCCCACAGATATCTGTACTGGGACCAGTGCTTTGAACTTACTCATAAATTATCTGTAATTAGGAGCGAGCAGTGAAGGGGCCAAGTTCACCTATTATACCAAATCTATGGAATGCGCTCCCCAGAGAGGTCCGCCTGGCGCCGTCGTTATTTGTTTTTCGGCGCCAGGCTAAGACCTTTTTATTTAAAACTTATTTTAATTGTTAAATTATTGAATTAATTAGGATTTTAAAATTTTTAGCCGAGAATGCACGGGGGGGTTTTAAACGATTTTTTAAAATTGTACAGACTCTCAGCCCAACCTACCTCACAGGGTTGTTGTTGTGGGGATAAGATGGAGGAGGAGGAGATGTAAGCTGCCTTGAGCCCTTTGCAGGAAAAAGGCAGGATATAAGTTGATAATAATAATAATAATCATTATGTATGTATGTATGTATGTATGTATTCTTTGTGAGCCGCCCCAAGGCTTTGTTGCGATGGGGGCAGCATAGAAATGTTTAACTAAATAAATATTAAAGTGGCTAACCAGTTACTGAGCCTTAAGAGGACCTCCCCTCTTATTCCATGACTTCTAAGTATTCACAGAAGTCTTGGTGAGGAACTTTGTCAAAAGTCCAAGTAAACAGAGTCTACTGGCTCACTCCATCCACATATTTATTGACACTCTCACCTTCATTCGATACTCCTTGAGTATTTAATGGATTTATTCTCAAATGGTCTGGCTGCCTCTTAGCTAGTTCCCTGCTTCTGTTGTATTAAAAAAAAATTATTTCTGCCTTGAAGTTGTTAACAATATGCTTTTTTGCATCTCTTATTGTCTGCTTGTATTTTGCTTGTACAAGCTTGTGCTCCCTTTTGTTTTCCTCAGTTAGTCAAAACTTTTATTTTTGAAGGATGTCTTATTTTCTCTAATACGTTCCTCGCCACTTCTCGTTTAACCATGGACTGATGTTACCTTTCCTATCCCGTGTTCTATGTTATATCTGGCCTTCTATTGTTGTGGTTTTGTGTAATCCCCAAGCATTTTGAAGGGATTTAAGTTTCTTGTCTTCCCTTTTACTAGCTGCCTCATTTTAGAGAAGCCAATGTGACTATGTTGATTAGAGTAATCCATTTTTGTCTACTCCAGTGCTGCTTCCTTCCTCACCACTGCTTTTCTGGTTCCTCAAGAAGGAACAGTGCTCTCTTCAACTTAATATTTTAGTTATTCCAGTTTCCTTTGCCATTACTATTGAAGCTCTGGCTCAGGGGAGGCACTGTGTGAGCCCAGACTGCAGCTCCAAAATTGCACTTTGATATTGTGCATGTGCAAAAGCTTATTTATGCAGAATAGGTATTCACTACGAGGGGAAATTTTTGTCCATGGATGAGTTCATTATTTTGTGAATAAGTAACAAACTCACTTAAGTAAATTTGCCATTACCAGTAATTACCCAAATATGATGGACTTGGAATGGGATTTCCCAAAAAAAAAAAAAAAAAAAAAAAACCAAGGGAGAAGAAAACCTGCAGGAAAGAGGTACTTAATGGTTTCCCTAACCAGTCCACTCAGTCTTCTGCAGTCAGTTAAAAACTATTCAGGAATAATTTAGGACTGAGCACTCCATGTGGTTGGCAGAAACCTTCCAAAAATTTTGGCTTGCATACAAAGATCCACTGTGTAAATGGCAAACACATCCTCTTACACAAGGGAAAAATATTGAAGTGTAGACAAGAAGGGAAAGAACACTCATGCACTCACCGAAGTACCCTTGCAGGCATCCAAACTTCTGTGTCTCCTCTGAAAAATAACAACATAATTGAAATTCATCCAGCAAATGTACTAGGAAAACCAGGACACAACTCATATGCATTCTGCTGTCAACATGCCATGTAAGTCAGCCCGAATATGAACATTCTCACTAACT